GGTGTAAATTATCATGGCTCCACTTAAATGAAGAGATATGACAAATTACACCCACCGAAGATCTGCCCCCAGGTCACTGACTGGAGCTGCATAGGTTTTTAGTCTTACGTACCCTTTGTGCCAGCTTATCAGCTCTGGACTATTTACAGGCTTCACATTGCACAGCTAACACCTGCTTTTAGGCTCATGGGATTGCACAGGTAACAGCCTCTGTCAGCTTCCCAATAGGCTCTATCAATTCCTTCATGTAGACTTAATCATCCAGAGTTTCTAAGACATAGATGTGTTTTGCCTCCTGAGTTTACAAACCCCTGTGCTTGAACAGCATGGTTTGTAAATTCCAGCAATTGAATAGCAATGCTTTTAGCTACTTAGTAGTGCATGCAATACCTCTCCCCTCTTTCCCCCAGTTATTAAACTAATACAAAGTCTATAAGCATTATTGAGACCTGTCCTAGGTCCTTGAAAACAGGGAACCGGTGATAGCCAGGAATTCTTTAGTCCACTGCCAAATCATAAGACTTAACGCCTCTCTTTTGGACAAAGGCTTGACAACCATGATCCATGTGTTCATCATCATCATCGTCATCACCTGCTGGATTGACTACTGGAAATGCCCCAGAGATTATTCTAAGTGCCCTGTACCTAGCCTATTAGTCAAGGCTCATCAAACTCCATCTTTCCAACATATAGCAGCTTGCATCTACTAAGTGGAACTAATTGCAGGGATACCCCTATTGGCAGGGATACCCCTATTGGCTCCCCTTTCATTTTAGTGTTCATTTCATGGTCTAAGTCCTAACTTTCAAAGATCTTCAAAGACTGGAGCAAGGCTTCTCTAGCATCTGTCTACCATTCTCCATCTTTAGTAGTTTAAATGTGCTGTACCGGTACTCCTCACTTAATGTTGTCCCAGTTAACGTTGGTTCATTATGTTGCTGAGCTGTTAGAGAACATGCTTGTTTAAAGTCATGCAGTGTTCGATTATAATGTCATTTGACTGCCACCTGCTAGTAGCTAACTACTGTGATGTAACTGGATTCACTTAACATTGTTTCGCTTAAAGTCAAATTTTTCAAGAACATAACTATGATGTTAAGTGAAGAGTAGCTGTACTTATCTGGAGCACAGACACTGGAAGAGGCCAAAATGAATCTAATAAGAGCTACAGTCACTTTTGGTACTGGGAAGTATGGAGCATGATACCAAAGGAGAAGAGAATAGCATTTATTCAGGTCATCTTCACCATAGATTGTAAACAACACCTTTTATATCTGGTTACCAGCTCTAATAGAAGCTATGACAATGATTAAACAAAATGATCATTTCAAGTACAAGGGATGATACCTAAGGAAGATGAGAAAAACCTACTATAACACTGAGAATATTGAAATTCACTGTTTACAATAGCAAATTAACAACATGAAAAACTCATAATTTGGAACCATCGTGACTACAACATCACTCCAACCCTACTAAGAAAATAAGAATAGATGGAAAATGTTCTGCACTCTTACCCATGCTTTCTGCTCTCAGCACTAGTACAACGTTATTTTCTGGCCTGTTTAGAGCAGGGGTGGGCAAAATGGTGGATCTGGCCAGTGGCCAGACTCCATTGCCCAGCAGCCCCTGCCTGTATCACTGTAGCTGGTTTCCATGGAGACATCAGGAGCAGTGGCACTGTGACAGTGCGGGGCCAGGGTTTCCATGGAGACTGGCCCCAGCAGCGGTGGCGGGTGCACAGCTGGGTGGGTGTGGTGGCAAATCACCCCCACAGGCTCCCGAAGGGGAGAGAGCAGTCCCCGTGGGCCCCAAACCCCACAAACAGCCCTCCGCAGGGGAAAGTTACCTCCAGGGGCTCAGCCGGAGCCGGAGCTGGAGCCAGAGCAGGAACCGCAGCTGTGGCCATGCGAGCCAGCGTTACGCCGGCTGTTTAATCAGCTGTTCCCCAGGCTGGGAAAAGCTGAGCCAGTCACGGCGGCCATTCTGGCTGCCACAGGAAGATTTAAAAGCCCCACTGGAACCCGGGGGTGGAGAGAGCAAGGGAGCACACTGGCGTGGAGCATGCCAAACGTGCTGAGGCTTCTGGAGCAGGCAGCTGCAGTACAGCCGGCTCAATGCTGGCAGGCAGAGCAGGGGAAGCAATTGAGCCCCCTGCAGCAGGCTGGGATGAAGAAGGCAACTCCACACCCCTCTCCTCCCCAGTGGTCTATTTTTTCTGACAAACAAAAATAGGAACAGAACCAAAAGCGCCCTACTCAGAGGTGCTGAAGCAGGTGCCAGCCAACTCGAGTCCAGCTTGCCGGTCTCTGCAGCGGAAAGGCTACCCCTTGGGGCAGCCTGACAGGTCTCCGACAGGACCCACGCTGACACGGGTTCCCCCTAGGCAAGCAGGGGTCGATCGAGTATGACCAAACCACACTGTTGGCACCCATCCAGTTGGTGAGTGGACGAGGTGTAGGGGAGGCGGAGCCCCATGGAACATTGCACCCGAACTGTGAATACTACCATCCCCAGGTGCCCCCCAGGAAGAAGCTCTCCACTGAACCCTCCCTTCATCCAATAACACCAAGTCATGGCAGGAGAGTTGAGGGGAGGGGCTCCATGTTGGACGGATAGTACGCCGCTTGGGGAACCCCCACTCAAGGCACCTTTCATCACAGTGGGGAGCTGCTCTGTGGCCAGGGCTGGGATCTTGCAGTAGTGACAGCCTGGTCCAGAGCTGGGGCAGAGCTGCAATGCGCTGCCTGCATGTCCCTGCCCAGGGTATGCGGGCAGCAGATCGCAGCTCTGCCCCAGCTCCAGACCGTGCTGTCACTGCTGCAAGATCCCACCCCTGGAGTAGCTTCCTCCCCAACTGCATGCCCTGCCAGCACTGCTGGGGCTGTTCTTTGTGGAAACCCTGGCCCCGTGCTGTCAGTCCTGCTGCTGCTGGGGTGTCCATGGAAACTGGCTGCAGTGACGCTTGCATGGGGTGCTAAGAAATGAAGTCTACCACAGGCCCAATCTAGCCTGTGGACTGGACTTTGCCTGCCCCTTGGTTTAGACCCTTGTAGCAGACCAAAATCCTGGTCACTTTTACTGCATTGTATCCTTGCAAGTATCTCATGCTTCCTGCCTGTTAGTCCCTCCTCTTGTTTGTATATTCACTGTTTGAGCTAATGTTCCAAATGAATCTGTTTCTTTTAACTCTTGATTCAGCAGTCATAGGTTAGTTTTAAGGCCTGTTGTTTTACCATTCAAATGAAAAGAAAAGTAACCTTCCAACAGTTTTTGTTTAGAATGTAATAACAATTTTGTTTGAGCAAGTTAGATATATTCTTCATTTTGGTTATCCGTCTGAGGCTCCAGTCCAATAAACACTTACATGTGCACAGGAAAACCTTATCAGTTCAATATCATATAGTTCAAAGTATTGAGTACTTCAAAGCTATTGTCATTCCCCAGCTGAAAAGATAGGTTTTTACATGCTTTATGATACAGACAATATGAAATACAGCTACTTTGAAATTTGAAGAAATTTTCTGGTCCATTGAACCATAACCCCCCTGAAAACAGTTTGGCAGGCCCAGGGGTTAGTGAGATTGGCAGCATTTTGGTGCAATCAGGGGTTAGTGGGCCTATGGAAGATGGGGGGCATTGGTGGGATTGGGGGCAGTTTGGCAATCATGGGTTAGAAGGATCAGAAGTTGGATCAGGGTCATTTGGTGGAATGGGGGTTGGCGAGATTGGGGGCAGTTTGGCAGAAATGGGTTAGTGGGTGTGCAGGCATGGCAAGGGTTTGGCAGGATTAGGGGCGGTTTTGTGGGATCAGGGATGGCAGGGCCACAGGGGAGTTAGGTGTGCTTGGGAGGGGTTGGCAGGACAGTTCCACACTTAGATGTACCTAACTCTAGGTGAACTAAGATAGTCTGTGGGTGAACTAAGTCTGTATGTACCCATAGTAATTTGGATAATTCAAACTCATTTATTTCCAAGTCAGTATTTTTGGTCCCTTGCATTTCAAATTAACAAGGTTTTCCTGTACTTAACTTTAAATATTTAGTAGTAGCTATGGTGGAAGTGCAGCTGTGACATAATCATCTTAGAATGTAGATATATAATTAGTTTATGAATACTGCAAATGTAATGTGACACTACTGTGAAGGGGTTTGCTAGATTTTCCTGTACAGATGCATTGCAGGGGGCTGTATGGAGAAAAAACAAACCAGGAAGCAGTACAATAACTCTGGATTAGAATATCCCAGCACCAAGTTTTCCGCATGTCCTTATGTGATATTTTATATAAATAATGTAATGTATTTTACATATTTGAAATAATTTGCATGGATGCACTCATTTTAGCTTTAAAAAACTGCGTGGATGTAGTGTTCACAGCCCATGGCCTGTTAGACTTCATAAATGAAATCTTTTATTTGTTAGCAGAGCAGGCTTTTCATGCCTGTATTCTCTAATAGGTCATTTAATGTAAGAAGAGCCACAACCAGTGATCTCCCTGCTGTTGAAATGCTCATTAAAACCCTTGACTTGAATAAAAGTATACTAGATGACTTAAGGATCTTCACTCTGGCTCGCAGAGATCCAGTGAGTACATGCTGCAGGTATTATATGTACATGTAGTTTTCCATTGTATTGTCCAAAATGAAACATGCTATTTGCTAAAAAATCTTTCCTGGGGTTTAAATCTTTACCAGTGGAATCATTGGGGGATGTGGAGATGACCCTGACTTCCATGAAAATAATGATCAGTCCTCTAAACTTCAACATTGGTCTGCCTGTCCACAGTGGCCTGTCTTCATGGAACTCATTGCAGGACTGGACCCTTGCTTGGAGAGAGATTATTTAAGTGGGTGGCATACAGAATGGCTAGTGGGAGTTTGTGTTAATCAACAGTGTATTATTGAAATGCACAGTTAAGATCAGAATTCTAATATTGTGTGTTAATCAATGATCAGCATAGGTGTTCACATTTGTTATTTGTCTTTCAGGATGGGACACCAGTCCAGGCATTTGTAGCAGAAGTTTCGGATCAAATAGTTGGTGTGTCTGTTGTCAGAAATGAAATGGTAAATCTCATCTGAACTTTTTTTTCATTCTCCCATTTGGGATGTGTCCTGAATTACCACAGTGAAATGTTGACTGTTTTATTATTTGTATTACACAAATGTGTACAGAAACCACAACCAAGGCCATTTTTGCTTGGCACTATACATAAAAATATTAGTGGAGGTCCCTGCTTCAAAGAGTTCAAAATCTAAGGATTATTGTCCTCTTTTGTGAAAGGGAAATTGAGGCACAGAGAACACCAGAAATCTGTGTGGAGCAGAGAATCAAGCCCAAATCTCATGCAGCTTGGTCTGGTATCCTAACACAAGGCCAGTCTTCATCCAAAAAAGACTTGTTTGTTTGTTTTTATCCTGTTGCTACAACTGGGTGCATCTACATGTGCATTTAATGCAGAGGCAGGCAAAATATGGCCCGTGGGCTGGATCCAGCCCACCAGGCCTCTCTGACTAGCCCACGGGGGCCCCAAATTTTTTTGAAAATTAATATTTATCTTCCCTGACTGCCTGTCAAAGATGACAGGAGCCAGAGGCAGTAGGACCCAGGGGGAGCTGACAGCAGGATTAAGCAGCCAGAGTAGCAGGAAGCCTCTGACTACCAGGGGCTTCTGGCCTGGGAACCTGGGTCTGTTCCTGCCTCTCTGTGCTGAGGGAAATACAGATAAGGATGTGGGGAGGGAGGCAGGGGAGGACTGCAGGTGATCGCCTCAATCCTCAGGGCCAAGTTCGCTCCTGCGGTCCCTGGCACTGCAGCCAGGAACCATATGGTGCTGAAGCAGCTGGCCAGCGTGGGGTGGGGAGCAGGAAAATGGCTGCGGCAAGTGGGGGAGAAGGGGCAGTGAGTTGATGCACAGAGTGCAGCAACAACTGGGCGGGAGTGCAGGGCCCCTGCTGGTGCACCGGGCCAGCGATGGCAGGAGCGTGGGACGTGGGCCAGCGGAGGCTCTATGGAGCTGGGCTGGGTCCCCCTTCTCCTTGTGCGAGCAGGGAGAGGGAGGAGCTGGGCAAACCCTCCCCCCACACACCCAAAGTCCCCCCACAAACCCCATACCCCCCCCACACATCCATACACACACCCACATGCTTCCCCATACACACATGCCCCCACACCTATCCACCCCACCACAAACCCCACACACACCCACAAACCTATACCCACCCACTCACACTGTTCCACAATATACACAAATAAGATTTCATTTTAAGCTATTATACCATCACCTCTATGTACACTACACAAACACATGTAAATCAGGACAAAAATACTTTTTGAAATGAAATTAATGAATGTTGTAGTATGTTTGATTTTTAGAATATAATTTGGTATTTTTGTGGTTCCAAGATGGCAGACCCCCTTGCTGAAAGGAATACTTCTGAGGAGCAAGGGGAGGGCCTTCTGGTGGCAAAGGTCAGGGATTAGGGGGTGCAAGATGGTGCCCAGGGGACAGGGCACCTGTCAAGAGGCAGGACTACCCATGTGGCCCTCAATGGCTTGCCAAAACTCGGTAAGCGGCCCTCTGCTCAAAATAATTGCCCACCTCTGTGTTAATGCACAGCAATAAACTCCTGAGCAATTGGAGCTGGAGTAAACTACTCCTGGGAACAGCACCTACACATGTGCCCGGGACAACAGCAGTATGAACCAGGGCAGAGCAGGCCCAGGTTGGCAATGGATATGGTGGGGTCAGTCCGGGGCTCTGAGTGGCAGTGTTGGCAGAGGGGCTGGCTGGGGCATGAGGGTGCTAAAAGTGCAGAGCCGTGTGGTTAGGTGGCAGGCAGGAGCCTGGCCCCCACCTGGCTGGCTGGGCTGACCAGCACAATTTGCACCTGCAATCAGCATCTACACATGCGTTTAGTTGCAGTAAATTACCCCAGTGTAAGATAGTACTGTCACCAACAGTACTATTTTATGCTGATGTAAATTAGTTTACTGGAGCCTAATCCCATCACACAAGTAGATGCTGATGCTTTACTGCGCAGCTAATTAATCTACTCTGCAGTAAAGTGCATGTGTAGACATGGCCACTGTGTACTTTGGTTCCTATTTTTCAAAGTAGAAAAGGAATTTCCCCTTACATACTGAAAATGGTACTTGCACTCACCTAAAATCCACTTTTTCAAAATAGTTTCTGAGTACTGTGTCTCACTTATAAAGCAGAAATTTATGTTCATTTTTGGATTAGAAAAATAAAATTGCAAGATGGGTAAGAAGAATAAATATTTTCTATTCTGTTTTACACTGGTTGCAGCAGATTGAAAACTTTCTCACCATTTTGCTTACTCTAAAAAGGCAAAAATATGGTCCTTTTTTGCAAGATTTTCAGTTTTTAAAATAAGGAGCAATCACCATTATTTTCAAAGATATCTTTTTATTTTGAATGCCTTGTGATGAGGGGTTGTCACAGCTACTTTAAGGTGCCTAAATTAGATGAATCCAAATATGAGGTTGAACCAGTCACTGCAAGGAATTCCTTGTAGAGCTTTTTTCTTCCGCTTGGCTTTATACATGGAAGAGGACAAGCTGTCACTCTGTCTGGAACCCTGTACAATAGAAAACTTTTTTTGGTACATGTCCATTGAACAATGTCAGGGGCTCATGTAATTTAGAGATGGGTCAGACACATTCCATAGTAAATAAAGCCTGGAGAATTACAAAAAATAGCTTTTGATACAGAGGAAAGAATGTCAAGGAACATTTTGTAGCCAGTCATGAAAAGCTCTCGAGGTGGTCTTGCTTCTGTGTTCAAATTTAATCATTTAAAGAAATAGAAAGGCAGCCTGTTGGCACATCTTTTATTGTGAAAGCATAACTTTTCCCACCAGTGCTGATTCCAGACTTCTTATTTTGTAGGATATTGAATATATCCGTTCACATTACAACATTGAAGATTTTATTTACTTTAATCATCACCAGAAGGAAGAACATGGCCATCTTTACCACTTTGCTCTAAATTCCATATTCCATCATTATACCAAATATTTTTTGAAGGAAATCCTCCGCTTAGCCTACAAATCTTGTCTTTATTACCCTATTTATCCACAGTCTGAAGAAGGCAAGGTAAAACCAAAAGACAATTATTTTATTTAAAAAATATTATGCTGTTGTGCAGTATACCTTTTTCTTCCTCCTCTCTCTCCCTCTTTGCCCTCCTCCCTCTGACTGTGCAAACAACACCTTGTTCATCTCTCATGTAATCTGTATTTGTGTTGAACGGCTAGTGCTCTGACTGTGCTGCTCCTGTGCTATCACAATATGGGAATCATGCCTCAGTGAAGATATGTTTCCTGCTACCTCACTTGCTTCAGAGGAGAGGACTTTTTGTCCTCTCTTCTGAAGTCCTCTCCACTTACTTCAGAGGAGAGGACTTTTTGTCCATAAAGGCCTCATATTACTCCCCTCAGCTCCACTGATCAGGGGCTGCAGCCAAGGCTCTGCCATTTCCTATCCACTCTCAATGTACCTGTTTTAGGAAGAAGTAGCAGGGATAGAAAATGTATTTGCTCCTTGCACACCAGAATGTGACATCCAAATAACAAGCTCAGGCATGTTTTTTTACTCCATCTTTTGATCCATCATGGCTATATAGCTAAAGCACATTTCAAACATTAACTGGGGAAATCTCCACTTAAGGGTTGGAACACCTAAATTTAGCAATTGGAATGTCTAAAGTTTAGGTGCCTGGATCCATGAACATAATCCAACTGAACTTGACTTAGGCATCTAGGGTTCATACATAGTCAATAGGGAGACTTGGGCACCTCCAAAGAATAATCCAGTAGACAGGCTTAGGCATTTTATCACTCTAAATGATGGGTGCTCAACCTCTGGCCTGTGGGTCAAATCCAGCCTGCAGAGCCATGGCATCCAGCGCATGGGGCTCCTCATGGGTCAGCAAATTTGGTGGCAGGGAAGCAGTCACAATTCATTCTACCATCCCTCACCATTGCCAAATTCCCAAGTCCCACACCCCCAGGTTGGGGCTAAATCATGCCCCACCTCCCATGTGGCTGAATCAGGACTGGGCCATGTCCCCTTCCCTGCACAGCTGGGTTAGGGCTGAGCCATTCCCCCTTCTTTCTGCACAGCTGACCAAGACTGGGCTACACTCTGTACTCCCATGTGGCTGGATCGAGGCTAGGCTAGCTTCCCCCCCCACTTCCACATTTCTGGATCAGGCCCTGTTGGGTCCGCCCCACCCTAGGCTGCACCCACTGCCCAGATCCAGCCCATGGATGGATCAGACACTGCCCATCCAGCCTGCAGAGCAAAAAGTGTGCGCACCACTGTTCTATAAAGAAACTGGGGAGAGATAAGGGTGTCTAAAGGACAATTTAGAGATAATGGAATTCAGAGTCCATAGGAAATGCTAAGCACTGCATTGTGTCTGAACTCCTCTTGCTCTCTGGAGCTAATGTGCCTGCATTAATTTGGAATCCAGAGAACTTAGCTTTTCCTTCTGGAGTAGGTGCCTAACAGGGTGTAGTGTTGCTTACCTTTTGCATAGTAGTTTAATTGTTAGATCATTCACCCAGGAAATGCAGAGCTGAAATGGAGGCCCTCCTCACCCTGAGGGGATTCAAAATCACATCACCCATTTCCCAGGAGAGTGTTCTACCCATCAAGCTACAGAATAGCCTAGGTGAGAGCACTTTCCACAGCTCCCAGAATTTTTTATGCATTTTACAGGGGACAGCCATCAGTTAGAAAAATGAAATAAGCCTCAAAGCCGAGACTGGGCTCTACATCTAACCTCTCTCATCTGGGTGCCCTAACTGCCATGCTGCAGGTTCTGCCTTGCTCTTATTTGCTGTCCTTCTGGACCCATGACTCTTGCAGTTTTGGCTATGGGTTCAAACCCATCTCCTTAGGCTGAAGAGAGCCCAGAACCCCAGTCTTACCACTTCCTGGGTAAGCGCTCTAACCACTAACTTGGTATGCAAACCATGGGCAGCGTCACTGCCTCTTCTACAACCATGTTTTGGAATGAAGGTGACCATATGTAGCACTCCTTTTACATCTGACAAAGTAGGCTATTGCCTATGAAAGCTCATGCCTCTCTGAATGAGTCTCTAAGGTGCCACCTAGCCCTATGTTCTGCCTTTGTATTAGATGCAATCCTGCTGTTATAAGTTAGACATGCTCTTGGAATACTTAACACACTGGGCCCTTCTGGAGACTTGGGGAAAGTTTAAGCACCAGTCCACTTCCATTCTAGCTTGCAAGAGAGCTTAGATGGGAATTAGACACCTATGGTGCCTATACACGAGCAGTGAGGTTGCTCCAGCACGCTGTAATTACAGTGTGTTGAAGCAGACTTGATTAACCAAGTCTGCTGAAGTGTAGTAATTGCCATGTTCCAGCGGTCTCTGCCGTCTCATGTATCAGCGTCCCCACACTTCAAAATGGAAGCAGGGCACTTTAACTAAAGCTCTTTTGACAAGCTTTAGTTGAAGTGCCCCTGGAACCATTTTGAAGTTCAGGGACACTGATGCATGAGATGTTCCAGGTGCTTTAATTAAAGCAGCTCTCAGAGCTGCTCTAATTAAAGTGATCCCCTCCTCCCCCTCTTCACTCCCAGAACACGTATATAAATGCCCCTAGTTTCCTAAGCATGTATATAAAGCCCAACTATAAGCACCTAAGGAACTATGTGGTCCAAAATACAGGCACTGAATGAATTTCATGACTTCATGGCTCAGTATTTTTCTGGATCACTTTTTTGAACATGAATGGATTTAGAATTTTGAACTTAAATTAGAGACAAGGATTTCTTAGGCTGATACCTTTTATTGGACCAACTACGTAGTTGGGATAATTAGACAAGCTTTGGAATGAAAGACATGAGGAAGACGACCTGAGAAAGACTGTCTTGAATTCGAAAGCTTGTCTAACTTTATCCCAACTGCATAGTTGGTCCAATAAAAAGTATCACCCTAAGAAATCCTTGCCTCTGACATTTGGGTTTGACCCTAAGTCACCTAGGATAAAATTTTCAGAAACATCTAAGTCCCTGTCTATTTTTTTAACATATGAGTCTTGACAAAATAGACATATACATTTTTCAGAAGGAATTTTTTGCTTTTTTAGCCTGTGTTCTTCTGCACAGATTACTACTCTGTGCAGTTTTAGTAAGTGCCTTGAGCAGCAGTTGGTTCTCAAGGTTCTCCGGTGGCAAAATTATAGTTCTAGAAAGAAAATGGGTGGATGGAAGAGACCATTTTAATCTTGCTAATGTTTTTTGCTTGGTCTATTTGTCAGGTAAAGCAAGTTACCTTTAATTCATCTATGTTTTCTAGTACATGGCATTATAAATTATAATATATCATTGTGTGCAATTTGGATTGTGTTAACATTAATCATAGTGAATTATTTTGGTATTTGTGGGTGTGGTATAGACTTTCAAAGGCACCTCGGTGAAATTTTACACTGCATTAATGCTGACACTATATTTCCTCCAAATCACCTATTTTGTCTTGTTGCGTTATGAGTTTTAATTGGTTCTGTCATGCTAGAATAAAGCTGTTTCTAATGACCTGTGCTATTCAAATTAACATGGGGGAGGGTTGTTCATTTCAGGTTTATGCCTGTTTATTAACATTTATCACTTGGATGAAATTGACATTTTAGTCAGTATAGATTTTCTATATAAATTCTTAAACCATGCTTTGCCAAACAAGCAAAGGTTAACAGTAAGCAGATAACACAGCTTAATGAGGTCAAATCAAGCTGATTCATGATCACTGTGGAGAAAAATATCCTCCTGGGGAAAATACTTGTGCTGAAAAATCCCATAAACCAAACCACTTGTTTATCTGTCATTCCCACAGAGATAGTAATGTAATTACTCTCATAATTATCTTCATTAGTGTCAGGAATTATCTGCAATTCATTCCTCTGCTCTGAGTATGTTTGTTTATTTGCTGATTTTTCTCTCAGATTTAGCCAACAGAGTTAAGAATTTTGTATTTGCAGAGCCATACAACAGACATCTGTGATGCACTGTTCTGACATTCTCTCTGCTAAAATATAGATTGCTGTCTTTCAGTTTCAGAATCCCTATGCCCATTCCCTGACATCTGCCCTTCATTACATGGTTCCCGTGCGACCAAGACGACAGATTGTCTATCCTCTGGAAAAGCTTGGCATAAACGCTCCATCAAAGCAGGTCTCCAAGGATCAGGTGGGTAACAGAAGCAGCAGCAGGCAAGGGGCATAGTGCCAGCTAATGCAGGGTTTGGCAGATGGGATGACATTACTATCTTAGTGTTGATAGGCTGCTTCTTAATTACACTGAACATGATGTTCATACCCTTACAGTCTAAGCTGTGCTTTTGCACTACTGTATCTTTTTCTAAATATATATTTCAATCTGAGCTTTACAATCACCCTCCATTAAATGCTATGGTATTTACCTATTAGCAAATGTTCACAGAATTGCAAGATTTCCTATGGAATTGCTAACATTTAGATGCATAATACATTTAAAAATATTGGTATTCGAATTAAAACATAGACAGCTCTTTGCCATGATGATTTTTTCCTTCATCTTAGTCTAATGCTGTCAAGATCAAGAAGTACAATGATGTGCTTCTGACAGCTCCAGTAGAAATGCTGTTTGATATGTTTAAATCAATTTATTTTTCAGTTCCAGGTCCAGGTTTGCATAATGTTGTAATCACTGCAAAATGAAAGGAGTTGTTTAACAGTAAAAAAAAAAAAAAAGTAGAACTTCTTATCTACAAAGACCTTGTGTATTTATATGATTCCCATATAATGACTCTCTGCTATCCTAAGCTGGGAGTTTGGTTTGAGTACATCTGTTCCACTTCTGTATGTTACAGAATCTATTTTTAAATGGCTGCATTCTGCCATAAAGATGGTTCATCTCTGAAGTAACAGGTGAAGCCAAAACATGAAGAAAAATCACATTCATGGTGGTCTTCTCTAGTGGTGGTTGTACTTTAGTGAAGGAAACACAATGCTAAAACTTTATGTACTGCTTAATTCTAATTGGTTGAGACAGAATCACATGTATCATTTTCTTTAGCATTATCCTGTTCATATGTGATCACTGGTTCTTGGCATCCAAAATTCTTAATTAGGCAGCAACTGGCAAACCAGAATCCCAGAACCCATCTCAGCCAATTGGATCGTGTTTTGTTCTATGGAACAGTTGTGTCTTCTACATGTACAGCATTCTCTTGTCTGCCTGTCTGCTGCATAATTGGCTGCCTAAAACTGCTTTGTATTTACCTTCATATTACATTGAAGTTGTCTCATTGGCAAAGGCCATCCAGCAAAAATGTTCAATGGATTATCTTCCATCTACACTAGAGGTCTGGAGTTACTCATTCCCTAATAGCTCAAAGGTTATTCTAGTCCACTATTACTGCTCATAGCTTCCTGATGTAGTAGCAGCTTGAAAATAATGAGTGAACTGGCTATTTTACTGAGCAACCAACATGGACTGTGGCTAGCATGAGCTAGGCCATCTTAATTTACAACAAGACAAGCTAACACGAAGGCCTAAACATACTACTGAAAATGAGAAGCAGGTTCTGCTTTCTGATTGTGGCGTTTTCAGTTACTCCGACTTGGTTAAATCACATTTCCTCTCTGCACTGAGATCTTGCAGGAAGGAAGACCCATGAATAATCATGTTCCTTCCTGCAAAATTCTGTAGCCAAGTCAGCAATCCATAGTGAGGAAGAATTGTACCAGAGGCTGTTGCTAGAAATAATAAAGTCAGCTGACATCTGAGGGATGTGGTGATTGTTGTATATCATACTTGCACTTGGAGATTCCAGTCAGGCACACTACACATAGAAACATGGTTTCTCCTCTAAAAAACATATGATCTAAATAGACCAGACAAAGACTGGGGGGAAGGGGTGGAAAAGGAGGGAAGCAACTTTCAAAGTGGTCAGGTTGAAAATTGCATTGAGTCCAACTTTTTTAAAAAATCTACAACCTGGTGGATGAGTGGGGGTTAATAGAGGAGAGGAGCTAATAGAAGGTCCAGAGGAAGAAAAAGGAAAGAATGGGAAAGGGTATATTGACGAGGGAGCTGAGTAGAAGAGATATCAGGAGAGAAGAGAGGGAGGGTGGCAGAGTAGGCTGTCAAATGCTGGCAATGGTAAGGAGGAGTTTGGAGCAAACTAATTAACAAAGAGAAAAAAACCCAATCCAGCATCCAAATAAAAGAAAGCAGAGCCTGAGGATGATACCACTTGTGTCCAAGCAGTTCTAAATGGGACTGTTTTTTCCTAGCCACACAGGTAGGGGAAGAGATTTGCTGGGTTCTCATACTCTACTATTGGTATGGGTCCAAAATAGGTTTGGAAGGAAAGTCCTAGTTCTGTTTGATAGTCTGTCTTCTATTCTGGCTTTTTCAGCTTCCGAGGGGTGTGAGTTGTTTTAGTGTCATTGTGAGAAGTATTTCTTCCTGGTCACTATGGAAATCATTTTGTGCTTCCAATTTGAAGGACCACGTCTCCTTTCAACTTGTATTTTAATTAGCATAACTGCAAAAGCCAGTCTTTTAAAACATAAAGGCCATACTTGTTAAGCAGTTATAATTCAGTAAATATGAAACTTCCAAAGGATTGTCAGTTGTGATCAACTACTGCAGAGACACTTGTTGAAATTCTTGCTTTGGTGCCCATATGGTGCTCTTTAGTGCTCGCCTGCCACCACCTGCCTCCTGTTTTCTCCTATTGCAGATTGAGACCTGCTTTCTGTTTCTCTGCCTGCTTCCATTCACTCCAATTTCTTGCTCTCCTGCTCATATTTGCAACACACATTCTTTTTCAGTAACAGCTTCAGGCTTAACAGCTGAGCTGTCTAAGCATATCTTCTGGTCTGTGCGCACACACCTTCACAGGCCAAAAGAGCAGCTTAGTATCTTGTTAATTTTGCACAGTGACTTGCTCAGGTTCTTTAATATGTGCCAGCCCCTGTGGTACCTTTTCTGTGCTTTAATATAAAAAAAGGAATACTCACCCCTAAATATTGACTCAATAGGGATATTGCTAAGTAGGCCTGTAAAGTTCCCCTTTCATTGCTCCAAAGCCAGAAGCCACACTAGTTCAGACCACAGAAAGTCAGAAAAACTTTGTCCTGGTTAGTTCACTTGCAATGGCTTGCCAGTACAGATGGAACCCAGCCTTCTTGAGAAGAAGCAGTTTTCCTCCAAGTCTAGAACACTTCTGTCATAGATGGATGAGCATTAGAAGTTATCTGACCAAGTTCTGTGATGGAGTCTGCCTTCCTTGTCCCTACACTCTCCTTCAATCACTCCACTGTCCTTCAGTGGCTTGGAAGAAACAGACCCTTCTGCAAAAGTTCTACAACCTGCTCAGCATCAACGCAGTTTGATCTGTGCCACCCTTGGAGAGAGAGAGGCTTTTACTGTGTCTAAGAAATGATGGTTTGCCTTTATATCAATCTGCCCATAAAGAGGAAGATTCTGAGTGGACACTGTCATATAATAACTTGTCTTTAGGAGACCATATAATCTCATATGTACATGCATTCTGCTCTCTACAAGTATTCTCTCTTCTTTCTCCTCTTCTGCCCCCCAGGAAGAAAGATGGCTCAGCATCCTTGGCCATAAAGCCTATTTTTCAGTATAGAACTATCAAGTTACCAGGGTATGATGTCTGAGGATAACTGTCTTTTGGAAAGCATTGAACCCTATCATTTATTACCTCTCAGAAGAAGAAAAGGAACCTTAAGGCAACACATGAGGCTTCAAATGCTAATATAGTCTGTGGTAAATGGTACATTGTTAAGAAGATACTTTTGGTTTACTCCCTGGCATCTTACTTCAGAAGGAGAGGAGGACAAAGAAGGTGTTCCTTTTTAGCCTGTGACTTTTTCATTGTACTGCTCCCTGGAGCTGCAAATGAACAGGGAGTGGTGATCCCTGAATTGCTCACAAAATTCTACTGTGAGTGACTTAAAAGCACATTGGACTTGATAAAGAACCCATTAGACTGAACATTCCTTCCAGAGGAAACATTCATGAGCTTTCAGCAATCCCCAGTCAATTTAAGGACTTGTCTGGAGCAGTCTACTGAGTTTTTGTTAAGGGTCAGGGACCTCATGGCATTTTCTGGAAGGATGACTTCTTGTGGTACATCATTCACTAAACATCTTCAACAAAGAGTAATATGATATCCCAAATGCAGTCTGTCTACAGAGGAGAAGTGCTTGATCATTTGATATGTCCAGGGAGAGCATTCTCCATAGGGTGTCCTTCATCGGCCTGTTCCCATGGTGGTAATCACCAAAATGCAGCCAAATGGAGATGCGTTGACAGTATCTAGAAATTCACAGACTATCAAATTTATAGGCCTACAGACTTCATATCAGTATGCTGGAGCCCAGAGTAGAATGTTGGGCCTTTTAAGGTGTCCCTGCTCTCTTTCTGTTATCAATTAATGCAGGTCAGGTAGACAACAGTATGGTTAAAAATACAGTAAGGAGAATACTCTCTATACTCCTTTTCACAGAGGCAAGGACATTTTAGCCATAGTGCATTAAAGTATCAGACATATCTTGTAGCACTGCTTCTAACAGGAGAGAGGAATATGCAAGCAGAACCAGAGCATGAGGAATCTAAGGCAGTATGAGCAGTCCCTAAAAGCACTTGGGATTTCCCAACTGTTCAATAAAAGTAGGGATGTCCAAAAGTGGATCTGCTTGCCTCTGAAACTGGCAAGTTCCCACTGTATTGCATGAGAGCAAGTAGGGATAAGTCTTTAATATGTTTTTATTCTGGATTGGAGTTCTGACTTACTATATGCCTTCTTTTCCTTTCCTCTCATTCCATGGTTATTGAGGAAAATCAAAAGGGACAGGACAGATATCATTCTGGTGACCACAGCATGTCCAATTCAGCACTGATCTGTGAATTCCTTTTCATAGAACCTCTTCTTCTACTACTAATCTCCATACCTTCTTTCTCAGAGTGATAAACAGTAGGGCTTTGTGAAGCTTTGGTCCCTGATTTGATTTGGCGGAGATTGGGCCCGATTCTGTGGCCGAATCTCTGAATCAAATCAGAGGACCCTTTAATCTCTCTGAATCAAATTGGAACCCTCCAAATCAATTTGGAGAGAGATTCAGAAAGATTTGATGATTCGGACATAGATACAGCTCTAAATGTTTTTTCTA